TCCTTCAGTGTCTTGGACCAGTGTTTGTGTAATGCACCGTGGAACTTGGGACGGTTCTCTGGTGCGTGGATTGTTGTTGGCTCACTGTATACATTGCATGAACTTGTTGGGAGTAATGGTACGGTGATAACTCGTCATTGGTATTACGTTGCGTGATGCAATCTAGCCTGACATATAAGACTTTAACAATCATTTTAGACATGGATAGAAATGAATTGCATCCGATGGGATTTAGAGCCTAAGTAGCTTTCTTGTTCGTTATCATAACTAAAAATGTTTTGTTCTGATAGACTGTAGCAAGCAAAGAAAAAAAATTTTGAGAGGACAAAAAAAAAGAAATTTCTTTTTTGATATGCTTCGACTTTCTTTCTTTGTTGATCGAACGAGTTTTGCCTTCCGGTTTGTTAAATGTTGGATTATGATCTCACGGTCTGCATTGAACGCCAAAACTTCATTTTTCATGCTCGACTCGAATAGGTTATGCGAGACAAAAGTCCGGTGCCTCGGGGTTTTCCGTGCGTTCTCGTGCATCCTCAACTCGTGGCTGTCCGTGGTTGATCTGATTTGATCCTTAGGACTTCTCGGCGACGACTTGCCCCTAAGCGGCACCAACGGACACGCGCCCGCCCCCGAGTCTGCCCCCTTATCATCTTCGAGGAATCGGGTGGGAGAGAATGGTGGAGACGAGTCTTGCGCGAAGGTAATCGATCTCTGCCTCCTCGCAAGTTATTTTGAGTTTTCTTTTGCAACGATATACGGATTGCAATCGAATGAAGGGCCGTCCTGATTTGGTCATAGAAACCGGTGAAGAATATCGGTCCATAGATCTTCACGATAGGGTATTGGGTTCCATCGAGCTGTTTAAACTCGAAAACCTGCGGCTGTTTCTTAAAATTGCATTCTTGGGTTTTTTTTTTTTTGTCGTTGATATCTTCAGCTCCAATTTTGCAAAAAAAGTCTTCCTCGGATTTGGTTGATTTAAGTCGGTCTTTTCGGGCTCCAGTCACCATATTGTCTCTCGTTCGAAAAGAAAAAGGTTAGCCATTTACGTGCTGTCGGGAGCAACCAAGATGTAGGAAAGGTTGGTCTTCAGATATGGTTGTCAGTACTGTTGATTTAGTGTACTTGCACATTCATGAAACTGGGGAAGCTGCTATCATTTGAATCCGACATAAAGAACCGAACAGTAAGTCTCGCATTGTGCATGTTGGCTATTTTAGCTCTGTTTATCTCATCTTTATCCTACATCCTTCTTGAACTGCAAGTTTAAAGCCTCCGTGTAGTGATATATAATTGAACCTTATATCTGCAGATGCAGGTAACTATGTCAAGCTGCATATCATTTATAGTATTTAATTTCTTTGGCTTTCATCAATTCAATTTTTTTTTATAGAAACCAAGTTAAATGTTATTTTTTAAGTGATATGTTGGAGCCAATACATCAAGGTATCTTCTTTTGTTGTTGCATATTCTGAAAATTGAAACCTTATATGCTTCATCAGGTTCATCATCAATGGGTGACCGTGATTTTGTTGATAAAGACAAGCTGATACTAAGGGGCTTGCAGTTTCATGGATTTCATGGTGTGAAACTGGAGGAAAAGAAGCTTGGTCAAAAGTTTATGATCGATGTGGCTGCTTGGATGGACTTGAGCAATGCTGGTAAATCTGATGATATTTCTGACACAGTCAGCTATACTGCTATTTACCGGTAACTGTTCCTTTTTCTTTTCCCTCTTCCTTTTTGACAATGCAGTGGTTATACATTATGTCTGTTTTAATAAAACTTATAGCAGTTATAAACAGTTGATATATTTCCTCTAAGATGTATCTGCTATGGCCACCGGCAGAGTTGTTAGTCTTGGTACCTAGTAGTCTTCATCTCTGTTTTAGTGGTGGGTGGGGTTAGATTTCATGCTCGATCAACCATTTCTTTTTTTCTTTTTTTTTTCAATGTTAACCAGCTTGTTTGCAGAAATGGCCCGTGACTGACTTGACTATTTCATCTCTAAGTCTAAGACCCTAATGATGGGATGACCTGAGGCCACAACCATATGTAAAGTTTAGAGATGATTTTTCTTCTAAGCAAAAGATAGGTTCATTATATTTTTTGGTAAAGTTATTTTAAAAATACTGGCTGCTAAATTTTTCATCAACTCTTTTGGTCATACATCTTATTAAAGAACACCCAAGTCACTAGTTTTCATCCTGACTTAGCCATAGTAATATTCATAGACTAATGTGAGCCTTTGAACTTGCAAGTAGTTTTTTAGAATGAAATACTACCTTTGATAATTTTATCAAGATAGACAGCAAAAATGAGCTCACAGTTGAGGCATTATGTGAACTTTTGCGAATGGAGGGAAGACCATATGTAATTTAGTACTTGAAATGAGAACTCTTAATATAGCACACAATGTGATGAGAATGTCTTAAGCATCAGGAGGTGACCTGCCTCCATTGAATATTGGAAATTGAGAGAATGAGAATTTCTTTATAACATATTTTACTGATGTTCACTATTCGAGAGAATGAGAATGGATGCAAGCAGGAGGGTTGTTGCAGAGTGGAATGATGGTTTATATTTCGTGCTATTGCTACAGTACCATTGGAGCAAAAGGAGAATCTAGGAAACATTTTGACAATATGTTATCCTTCATGCATTTGCACAATCCTCACTTCTAGCTTTGTTATTATCTTTCTGGTACAATATATAATTAGGTTAGTGGCGCCAACAGTCATGTGTGAACACAGGTTGAATCATATCACCATGCAAAATGGGTGACATGCCATGCCGACCTCTCCCGGATGTGTGCCAAGACCACTCAGTGGCCTTTAGTATCTTGCACATCAAGGACGATGATTCTTCCTGTACATAATGGTGTGCACAAACTTCCTACTTGGTTTGATAAACTTGAAGAGAGTCGACAAAGATGCAAAATGCGAGCTTAAGGCCTGGGGATGGTTTATCCGCAAGGTTCAAAACTTCAGGAACCCAAAAAACATATAAAGAAGTCACTTTTGGGTGGTGCACAACAATATAGTCAAATGCTCTTATAATAATCCTGCAGGACAATGTATGCATCAGCTTATCAGTGGCATGTTCCAATTGTTCCTATAAAAACAGTATTGGTTTATGGGTTCTTCAAATTCTTTCCCAGGAGGAAGTTTGGGTTTCGTTTCATAGGAGTGAACATTTCAAAAGGTGGCTCTATTTGTTAATTTGGCTTATGGATCCTTCATATATACTGATATATTTTGGAAACTCTCTTTGTGATAGCAATTATCTTCTTCTCAGCTTACTAGTGTGTGTGTGTGTGTGTGTGTGTGGTTAATAGATGGAAGAAGTGTAGAGTCTGGTCAGGAAATTTGCTTTTGAGAGCATGATATGATAGATCACTGCTGTCACTACTTTTCCGTGAAATCTTCACTTGAGTTGCCAAGTGAATCAAAAAGTTTTTCTTCTTATTTGGCTAAACTAACAAGAACTTGGATTGCATGTCATCATATGTGGATTACATTAGAGTCGGTGGTGGATGTGCAGGATAGTGAAGGAAGTGGTGGAGGGTCCGTCTCAGAATCTGCTGGAGTCGGTAGCTCACTTGATTGCAAATACCACGTTACTTCAATTCCCTCAGATATCTGCTGTGAGGGTGAAGGTGGGGAAGCCTCATGTGGCCGTTCGTGGCACCATCGACTACTTGGGCGTTGAAATCCTCAGATACAAAAAAGCGTCCTCTGTGGATTAAGAGGCTCTGCCAAACCATGGATGTGTTGATGATGATGCGATCGGTCCTTATCGAAAGGTATGTATGTATCTATCTATCTATCTATTATATCATCGAACATGTGTTTTGACTTGCTGGCCACGCACGTAGTGGGCAGGGTGTCTTTAAAAGTCGTGTTGCTGAACCGTCGTGAATCCCAGCCGATCGATCGATCGATTGATCCTTCTTGTTGATCGATCGGCTAATAAATAAGAAACAAAGGACCACTTCACCCGGTTTCGTACCCGCTTGGTAAATGGCGACGTGGGATCCACTTCGGCCTGCTCGATGCGGTTTGCGCCCGACGAATGTGCGGTGGCTGAGTAACTGCGTGCGATATGCGGGGTTCTGATGGAGCCCTCATCGTTATACGTTGTGGTGGGTGGGGATGGCGTTACTCTTTTGACACGGGTGACATTAAATCAACAGGTCTCTCTCTCTCTCTCCCCCCCTGCCTGTGGGTTGTAGGCATTGTCGTCGGCCAAACGAGGGAGGGAGCCGCTTCCTCTCCCAATCGAAGGAAGACTTTGGAACAAGGTATGTATTTATCTATTTATATCATCGAACATGTGATCGGTCCTCCGTGGAATTTTATGGTGCTTTTGAGTGTGTTTTTTTGCCGATTGCACTTTCTGGGGTTTATTTTTTTTTTGACTCGCTACTATGAGGGTATGTTATCACCTCTTTCTTTAGATGTGAAGCTATTTCTTGTTACACGTTAGGAGGAGGTAAAAGAAAAGAAAAGATAAGAAATGGGTAAAAGAAAAACTCACCATCGTGCTTTCTTGAAGCCCCTCCTCTCCTCGGTCCTGTGCGGAAGTTGTTGCATACCGAGTATATCATAGCTTTGAGAGGGTGAGCTGAATCTGATCTCCGATAGTTGGAAACAAGCAAAGCCACCCTATTTTCAGAACACCGCATCACATTACAACAAAGGAAAAGAATTCAAGAAAGCATGCAGTAACAATAGGACCGAGTAGAGGAGGGTGAGCAAAGAAGAGAGTTCATTTACTTTGCATGCAGCAACTTCTACGGTCAAGACCGAGGAGAGGAGAGTTCATTTACTTGGCATGCAGCAACAATAGGACCGAGTAGAGGAGGGTGAGCAAAGGAGAGAGTTCATTTACTCGACATGCAGTAACTTCCGCACAGTACCGAGGAGAGGGGAGGGT